TGCAGTAAGTCTTTCTGGAGTGGGGAGCAGGGGATTGTTTAGGGGGTCTGACTTTTTTTCCAAAAAGAAAGTTCTTAGGAACCTCAAATAGCGAAGAAGGTGAGTAGGAGCAGAGGGTGGGTTATCACGCGTCCTACCAGTGAGGGGGCTAGCTGGTAGGATGGGAGTATGGTACAGCAACAGCAGAGATGGTGGCTCCGCTGCAGTCAGCCTTGCGGGGGTGAGGTAAAGTGGTGTGATGGGGGGTTCTCCTGAGTCGTTCCTGAAATTTGTTCTAAATCATGAAGATTGTTGTAGACATGTCTGAAGTTGCTCCAATATCTCTGAGTCAAAGCCGGGTAATGGCCCCGGTATCTTTTTTTTTTTTTTTTTGAGAAAGCAACCCGAACTGACGCTAGGGGCGCTGATACGAGCAGACACCACTAGCGCCGTCGGGGAGGCTCCATCTATTGGTGGGGAGCAACACCTGCTGGAAAACGGGTCCACCGTCCCTGTTCAATGAATTGAATGTAGTTTGTGGAGATCGAGTCCCACTGCCCTTTGCTGCGATGTGTTGATATGTCTAATGATATGTCTAATTTCCTATGTATGCATTACAGTCTGTCTATGTTAAGTGCTGAGAGATCTTTATCCTGTTTGATGCATTTTAGATGTCTTTGTATGTTCTATGTGGTCAGGTCGGGTGACAAAAACCCTCCCTTCTTTATAGCATATGTGAGCTGGCGATCACTGCCAGCGGCCTCATATCACGAACATGTTACGTCATAGCAAAACACTTCATTTATTTTAGCTATATGCACATCTGTCCAATAGTGCTTGTGTGGGCCAGAGGCCTAGATTATCCTTCCATGTCTGTGTTTCTGTATTTCTGTAGTTCAGATTAGGTTGCACCCTACGTAGGTATGCCTTCTTTATATGTTGTGTCTAACTGTTTTACTGTACTTTTGTGTCTATTGGTTCAATAATGGTTCCGTGATGAGGTAGTGTGGGGCGGCTACGGCCGTCCCTATTGTGCCCACCCTCCCTAAAATCCCGTTCCCCATCACATTATATTATGTTATATTCGATTATATTACATCACATTGTGCTCTTTGGTCCCAATGTCTTATCTCTGTCACCCTATCCTATTATCCCTTCTCTCTAGTCTTGTGTTATCTGTCTACTAGCCATTTGCCCGGCTCGCCTATCCCCTAAACCCCAACCCCCCATATCCCCCCTTTTGTCTTGAACTCCTTGCCCGTGTTACTAGTAGCAGACTACGAGCTTCCTCTTAGCTCTTTTGTCCCGCAGCTCTCTTGTCTGTAGTCTTGGAATATTGGTGATTCTCCTGGCCGGCTGAAGGGATAATGCTGGGGGAGGGGGAGGGGCTGGGGGAGGGGCGGTAGTGAGCGGGAGAGGAGGACACTGTCAGGGGGGGATGGCTGGGATGTTAGGCGGGTCTACAGGGTTCAGCACAAAGTCTGGTGGTTGGAAATTAATAAGAAAGTGTTCAGTTGGCAAGAACTCCCACTCTCTTTCCGTGGAGAGTCAGGGTTGCCATTGGAGGTTATTTTGTTGATCCAACGTGCAGAGCCTGTGATTCCGATTGATCCAAGTGGTCTGGAAGGCTTCGATGATCTGCGTTTTCTTGGCTTCTTCCGATTCTTGGTCAAGTCTAGCCCTAAGGCTTTTCCAGGCAGCTTGTGTCTTAGTTGTGATTGTGTCAGCAACCATGGCTCTTGCCTGCTGGAATTCAAAGGACTGTTGTTTTCTTTCATATGAGCACCTCATTCGCCAAGCTGCCATAAGCAGTGCGAGACGCGAATATTGAAAAAGGTTGGTCATAAAGCTCGACCATTCTGTTTCGGTTGGCTGGAGGGCCCCGAAGAGGATGGTTTTCACGTCCCATGGGAGGTGGTGCCCTGTTAGGTAGTGCCATGCTGCGTCCCACCAGCGCCAGAGGCGTGTTACCATAGGGCAGTCCATTAGACAGTGCTCCAGGTTCGCAAGTTTCCGCGGGAGAATGAGGTCGCAGTAAGTGCACAAGGGAGAAGTATCCCTTTTTGCTCTAGATCTGTCCTCGCTGTCACCCAGTCAGGGGTGGGTAGGCATCTGTGTATAATTTTCCATTGTAGGGCTCTGTGGTTAGTTGGTCGGATGTGGGAGTAGGACGTCCATTTAAGTCCGTGTTTTTCAGTGGGGAGTCCCTATCCCACCGTCGCAGAATGTCATCCATAATTGGGACCTGTACGTTTGACGTTCGATATCCGTTTTTGACTGTGTATTGCCACGGGCTCGTTTTGGATGATCTCCCCCAGTGCCATTCCCATTGTGCTGGATCGAATGGGAGGTGGGAGAGGGGGGTGGTTAATTTTCAAATACTATTCTTAGGCCAATTGGATTTTTCTAGTAGGTTTTTAGTGACGAATCTTCTGAAGGTATTTGTTATGGGACGCTGGGCCCGGTTCCCAGTTCGTGCCAATTTGTGAGGTAATGCTTGTATCTATGGGACGCTGGACCCGGTTTCCAGCACGTGTTGCTCCCCACCAATAGATGGAGCTGTTTCCTTACAAAAAAAATAAAATAAAATAAAAATTGGTTGTGCTCCACTGCCGGTTCATCGAGGAATTCCTTTTCTTAATTTAAGAACGACGCTCTTCCCGTACGAATCCATGGGGCTCCACCTACCGGCCCTTCGGGGACTCTTACAGAAAAAGTGCCACGCAGCATGGGAAAACCGTGCTCTTCATGTTGAATTGCATTTGAATTTTGAACCTTTTTTTAAGGAATTGTTGGAAAAAGATACCGTTGCACCTAGTCTCAAGTTCAGAACCCCACAATACCCACCGGGGGCTCGGTCCCACCTGCGCATTTTCGTTGTAGGAGGCTACCTCGAAGAGAATGGCGGGCACCTAAGGACCATGAATTGACACAAGCGATGGTCCCTAGACGCCTGCCGACCAGTCGCTTCATGGTAGCCTCCTGCAACAAAAACGCAGGTGGGACCAAGCCCCGGATGGTGGAGAACAGAGGAGAGCAAGGGCTTTCAGTGCATGTGGGGGATGTTTCAGCGAATGCAGGCAAAATCCCAGAAAGGGAAAGAAATGTGCCCAGAAAGGAAAACAAGTGAAAACGCCAGTGGAGCCTGCAATTCTTCGAGGAAATTCCTCGAACAACTGCAGTGGAGCACAACCCAATGGTTGGGGTTGGCTCCCCTAAGAGGGGTGGTCTGGAGCACCCATGAAATTCCCTACTTGCAGGCTGTGAACTGCACAGCCACAGGAGAGACTGGGAACCGAAGGGCCTTGCACGAATCCAGGCCAAGGGAATGCCAATCTTCTGACAGATCGCAAATTGGGTTTGCCCTCAAAGAGTAGCCAGGTTGTGTACTCTTTATTTTTATTTTTATTTTTTTTATTTTTAGCCCAGGTTGTGTGGCCAAGGCAAACGACAGGACGTGGTGAAAGGGGGAAAAAAAAAGGTTTCGTTTGCTGTGTGGCGAGGGCCCCAAGGTTGGAAGACACTGGGCCTACGCTCTTCCCACGAACACAAGGCACACTGACCATGGTTGCATCTGACCCAAAAGATAGCTTGTATGCACATATGATCAGGGTGCATTGTGTTCGGGGGAAGATGGTCGTATAGTTTTGTCTGGGGAACATAAAACACACACAACACGTCTTAACACACACAGACACACAGACACAGACACAAAGCTTCATTGTCTGCGATAGAGGTAAAGCTGATTTGATTTTGGATCTACTCATCTGGGTGGAACCCGGACTGTTGTGGTGCAAATCTACAATACAGTAACACACACACACACACACACATCTCTGTCTCTCTCTCTCTCTCTCTCTCTCTCTCTCTCTCTCTCTCTCTCTC